ATACGTCAGATCGCCACTCGGGTTGTGACTAATTGTGAGGCATGCCAATTGACCAATGCCTACCCTGCCAAGCTGGCCCCTGGCAAAAGGCTATGCGGTACCAGGCCTGGACAATACTGGGAAGTGGACTTTACAGAAGTTAAACCTGCCCGATGTGGACTAAAATATCTGCTAGTTTTTGTGGACACCTTTTCTGGATGGACTGAGGCTTTTCCTACCAAAAAGGAAACTGCTGCCATGGTAACGAAAAAGTTGATGGAAGAAATTTTTCCCCGGTTCGGATTGCCAAAGGTAATAGGGTCCAATAATGGGCCGGCATTTGTGGCTAAGGTAAGTCAGGGACTGGCCAACATATTGGGGATTGATTGGAAGTTACATTGTGCTTATAGACCCCAAAGTTCAGGACAGGTAGAAAGAATGAATAGAACTATTAAGGAGACCCTCACTAAATTGGCTCTTGAGACTGGCTTAAAAGATTGGACGATGCTCCTGCCTTATGCCCTTTTTCGCGCGCGAAACACCCCATCTGCCAAACCCCCTAACCTCACCCCCTTCGAGATCCTCTTTGGCACTCCACCCCCCATTCGAGATCTCACTCCCTTAACTGAACATGCTGCCTTGTTGCCAACCTCCCTGTCTGACAGGCTCATCGCCCTTGACAATCTGCAGAGGGACGTGTGGACGCAACTAGCCTCGGCCTATGCCCCCAGCGAGTTCCCCGCGCCACATCCGCACCAGGTGGGAGACTTTGTGTTCGTCCGGCGCCACCAACAAGAGACTCTGCAGCCTTGCTGGAAAGGACCATACCAGGTCCTATTAACTACTACAGCGGTAAAGGTTGACGGGATTGCCTCTTGGATCCACGCGTCACATCTAAAGCCTGCTTCAGCACCAGAGGACGACTCCTGGGAACTCAAACGGTCTGATAACCCCTTAAAACTTAAATTGAGCCGAAAGACTCCTTGATGCTGTTTCTGTACACTCCCCTTGTGTATTATTACAGAATGGCCCAACAAAAACCCCAGATTGTAACCCCCTGGGCCTTAATGGGATTATTCATGTTGATCACTCCTGCAATGGCTAACCCCCACCGCCCTTGGACCTGGTCATTAATTAAATGGGACAACCAAGAGGTGGTTGGCAAGTGGGAAGGATCAGGTAACCCCACTTTTGCCTTCTTTTCCTGCGCAATTGTCCCTCAAGCCCCCTGTATGGATCCATCTCAGGGTGTTTACCTATGCCCAACTTCAGTGGAGGGGAGAACCTATTGTAACTCCCCAGGAGAGTATTACTGTGCTTACTGGGGATGTGAGACGGTGGCCACTGCGTGGACACCCACCATAAGGGACCAACACATTAGTCTTTCAAGGTTGACTGGAGCTCGCCCAAAGCCCCCCACTTGTTATGGTGGGGCTTGGGATGCCGAGTCAAGCCAGGGACCTGGACCCTGCCTATACCTACAACTCATGGTCCTCACCCCCCAAGAGCCTTCATGGATCACAGGAAAAACTTGGGGATTTAGATAGTATCAAAGGGGAAAGACTCAGGGGGATACTTGTTTATTAAAAAGGAATTAAAACCGGAGATAAAGCCATCCCTGCCGCCACTGGCTCCAACAACTGCCAAAAGACTTTTATCTCCGGGGCCCAAGGCTACCCAAAATCGAGAACACATGACCTCACCTCGCATCCCCTCCGGGTATTTGACTAATCCTCCTGAGTCAGGACTCGTCCCTCCAACCGTGAGCTCCCTTCTTAGCCTTATACTTGGGGCTCATAAAGCCCTTAATCTTACCCATCCAGACCTGGCCCAAGCTTGCTGGTTATGTCTAAGTGCTAACCCTCCATATTATGAGGGGACCGCTCTAAATGATTCCTATACGCTGACCCCCAATTCCGACCAGTGCGATTGGGATCACGTGTCCCACACCCTTCCTTTACCTGGCCTCGCTAGCCGAGGAACCTGTATAGGGACACTTGATAATTGGCCGGCAGACCTACGCCATCGCTGCCTCACACACACCCGTTCCTTCCCCAGTAACCAATATCTCATCCCCCCCACTGGGGCATTCTGGTTATGTACTACTGGGCTCACCCCTTGTGTTTCCACAAATGTACTCCTTGCAGGGGACAGTTCCTGTATCCTCATAGACCTTATGCCACGTATTAAGTATCTCCCTCCTGACATGCTCCCCCTCATAAAAGGTCGATATAAATGGGAACCAGTCTCCTTGACCCTGGCGGTATTATTAGGGATAGGTGTAGCAGGGGGGATAGGAACTGGTACAGCAGCCCTCATTACTGGGCACCAGTCCCGCCAGCAACTCCTTGCAGTTGTAAACCAGGATCTACAGGCCCTAGAGACATCTATAACTGCATTACAACAATCTCTCTCGTCTCTATCTGAAGTAGTGTTACAAAACAGAAGAGGCTTAGATCTTTTGTTTTTAAAAGAAGTGGGTCTCTGCGCCGCACTTAGAGAAGAATGTTGTTTTTACACTGATCATACTGGGATTGTAAAAGATGCAATGGAAAAGTTGAGAGAGAGAATCAGATCTCGAGAGCCCCCTTCAAGTGAAGCCAAAGTGTTCTCTTTCTGGGAATCAATTCTGCCCTATATCCTCCCTTTATTGGGACCCCTGGCTGGATTCATTATAGTCATGGCTATAGCCCCTTGCCTCATTAACCGAGTAACCCGGTTTGTGAGGGCCCAGATTTCTCAAGTAAAAGTTATGGTGCTACGTCAACAATATGATCCCTTACCCATACAGGACCTTTAAGATTAAAAGTCATTTACAAGAAAAAGGGGGGAATGAGAGAATCGACTCCCCGTTTGTAATGTAACCCCCCCCCCCGAGCTATAGAACAGAGCAGTAAGGAATGTTTCACTCCCTAATTCCTCCTTGAGATATCGGGGCAGGACAGGAAGGAATGCATCTGCTAGTCATTAACCATAAGATGTTCTGTCCTCTGTAAAGATAAAGATAAGTAAAGGAATGTGCTGTTCAAACGAGACCGAGTTGTACCTGGCACTCTGAGATTAGACCAGGACCCTCAGTCTCCATGGTTACTCAGCCCCAGACCCCTCGAATCAGCATCTGCCAAGTCCTGTGCCATTCAAAATTAACCAATGCGATCTGCTTCTGTAAACCTGCTTGCTTCCCGCTTGTGCCCTTAAAAACCCTGCACAAATTCCCCTCGGGGCCCTCCACACTCGTTTGCCTGGGGGACCCCATGCGCATGGAAATAAACTTGTTTTACCTCACCAAGAGTTGAGTCCTTGGGGTCTCTTTCCCTGCGGCGTCGGCCCTAACAGGTTATAACAGTGATGTCCAGCATATTTTCAAACCTCCAATGCTAGGGTTCTAATTACCTACCTTACCTCAGAGATGATTAGGAGAGCTGAGCATTAGACACAGAAAAAGTTTTTAATCTATGACTAAGTTTCCATCCTTTCTATAGACCAGTGAGCTTTTTCCTACTCTCAGACCTAACAAGCAGACCACCCTTCTGTGCCATCATAGTAGGTCAAGCTCACCTCAGAAGTCCTTTTCTATGCTGGCTGCTGATTGGGCTTCCCTCCACATGCCCCTGCTCTCTCATTTCCTTTCCATCATGTTGGCACATGTTATTAAAATTTTTGTCCTGATTCTTTAATACTCATGCAGATCTTGACCATGTGAAGATACCCCTACTTCAGTAAGAAGTCCATCTCATTGTTCAAATTTTTTTTGAGACAGGGACTCATGATGTAATTCAGGATGCCTTATCCTAGAACTCACTTCATGGCCCAGGCTTGTCTTAAACTTGCAAGGATCCTCTTGTATCAGCCTCTTGAGTGCTGGATTTAAGTGCATGTGCCACCACAGCCCACTCAGTGCATCAAATTTCAGGTCAAATATAAGCACAACCCAAATGTAACAAATTTTTGCAGTTTTGAAACCTACTTCCATTTCCACTCTCATATTTATTACATCTCTACATCCCTATAGACACCAGTTTGCTGTGTTTCTCAGTGTGGGATTAACAGGCAGCACCAACAGGAAGTTTTCCACAGCAGGAAATTTCCACTCAGGAGCTAATGCATTCCCATCCCCCAAATACCTCACAACATTCTAAACTTTAAGAAAACCCTTGCTTCAGTAGTTAAATTCTTAAAAAGTATTTATCTACTTAGCTTATAAACAAGGCACTCACTAAGGAAATGGCCTGAGGTAAAGTTGCAAAAGTAGTGGCTATGTTAGAATTAAAATGAGAATAGACCATGACCTAGGACTTTGAACCTTACAATAAATTGCAGATTCTAGTCTATCAGAGTGACTTGCAGGTGCTAATTACTAAACCCCTGAGATAACAGAAATGTAAACCCAAACATCCAGTTTATCTCTAAACCCTGTTTCCTGTAGACCTCACAGGCTGAAGAAATGGGTTGGAGAACCTCAGCTCAAATATTTCTTTTTCTGAGTGCAGTGACTCAGGGCTATAATCTCCTCATACTGGAGACAGATGGAGGAGGATGGCCTGGAGCTAAAGGGCAGGCTAGACTACAGAAGTACACTCTGTATCCAAACAATAAAAAATAAAACATAAAAGAAAAAAGAAAAGGAAACAAAGATAGAAAGATGGAGATCTATTTTAAATCCATAGAGCCAGGTGTACCTTCATGGCTATCTACCCATGTAGGAAATATTCCTGAAGTAAAGTAGCTTTCTCATTTTTATTTTGGTTCCAGAACTCATAATGCACAGGGTCATGAGATTATGAGTTCTGTTCATGCCATAACATCACTGCGAGCAAAAGTCTCACATAAGGAATTCAAATGATAATGTTTTCTTATTTTGAGGGCAGAATTAAGGTTTGCCTCCAAAGCACTGCACTCCTTAAACACAGCTGTGCCTGAGGCTATGCAAAAGACACTCTGGGTGTACAGGGGTTCTGCCCAATACCATCCAAAACTGCCAAAATTCCATCCCATTCCCACCTCCAGTACCATCAAGTTACCATTGCTATCCTTGAGGATTTCCAAGGATCCTTTCCAGTCCTCAATAAGAAGTCACAGAAACTTGATGTGAGTTCAGCTCCAGGCACTCAGCACTGACCTCACAGAGGGTTAGGAAGAGCCCTCCTCCCTTGGCCCACCTGATTGGCCCTCCTTCCTTTGTCCACCTTAATCAATGATTGGCCCCTGGGCCCATCTCTCTTCTGTGATGTCAGGCTCACCTGCCAGGATTTATACTTTACTCTTGGCTTTTCAGTGCTGTCCTGGGTTTCCTTAAAAGTTCATTGCCTTCTGCTGAAGCTGGGTCCCAAATGTAACCAGGTGAATGTCCTGTGGAAGAAACAATCCCTTGAGGTCAGAAAAGTTTATTTGGTGAGGTCAGACTAGGACAAATTGGAATAGGTAGGGGCTCCTGTCAGGAATGTGTCCATAAGCTTTATTGACCAGATTTTCACAGGGTCTTTTAGTCTGCTCATTTGCATTAAACTAATTTTTAGGCATCTACCAAGAGAACTCCATTACAGAAGTAATGAAGAAGCTACACATAAACAGTAATAGATTTCTGAGAAAAAGTAAAGACAAAGGAAAATCAAACAGTGCAACTGCTTCACAAAAGCTTTACACTGTATCCAGTGTCCTAAATCATACCCAAGTTTTGAAGAAAATTCAAGGCTCACTATTACTGCTGAAAGGGAATACCACACTTGATCCACTAGATCACTTCCTGGTATTAAGTGTGGGATTAGACCATGACCTAGGACTTTGAACCTCACAATAAATTGCAGATTCTAGTCTATCAGAGTGACTTGCAGGTGCTAATTACTTTAGACTGTGTTATGGATTAAGAACTGGTGGTCAATTTAACACCAGCTGAATTACATCAGCATGGCATTGAGCGAAGATGCTCCACCTGAGAAATGTTCCCAGGATAAATAGGTGGAGAAGAAGGGAGGTGCTGAGGCATTAGGGTGTTATTGCATTGAGGTATAGTGGGTTCCTCTATGAGTTGCTGTTTGAGCTGTTGGTTCTGCTGGAGAAGCTTTGATTCTCACATCAAGCATTGCTTCCTGGCTCTGGGGGGGAAGACATGTGCTGCTTGGTCTCCAAGATGAAATCATCATGCTGCTTCCTGGCATGTACCCGACTGTGCTTGTTGTTTGGAGAAGCTCAGGGCCTCCGTGTCGCTGAGGATGGCTGTGGTGCCTTTCAGGACAGCCCTGGTCTTTGTTGTGAGTGTTATTTCTTGGCTCCTGCATAGAACCCTCATCCCACCAGCACAGCTGCTTCATTCTGATGGCATGGACATTCTGGCTTCCACCACTGAACTTTGGTCTTCCCGGCATGGATCCATAAAAGAGACTGGTCTGAGTCCTTCGTGTGGGCTCTGGAACTGCAGCTGGACTCATGGGAGACATTGTCCTGAGATCTGTGTTTTTATCTGGACTCATGTAGTACATTGATGTGGGATTTAGGCCCTTAACTAAATATTCTGTCTTTGGTGTTGTGGATAGATTTCTTGCATTTTCCTGTGTTGACTCCCGGTGACCATTATAAAACAGTATTATAAACTCCGTGTCCTGATTTTAATTGTTCTCAGTGTACAATCCCTAACTACAACAGACAGTACGTGAAAACATTTTTGGCAAGCGTGTATATATTTTATGCTAGAGTCATTATATTTTTGCATTAATCTATTACCTAATTGGTGACTTGACTTCATATGCAAGATTGCTTTTAGCCAATCTATATATTATAGATCTAAAATATAGAAAGTATAAAAGAAAACCTAATGAAGCTGAAGTAGGAATTTGCAGGTAGGAAATGGTACCTGAGTTGGGATCATGAAGCCTGGCACAAGTTCCAGTGAAAGGTTTTTTTGTCTCTTTAATGAATGCTGCCAGGAACAAAAGCCCTCAGTTACGCGGCCACTACCTTCTCACAGGTAGCTGTCTGACTGTCATTTCTCTTCCTTCTTCCAAACGAAGTGTTTTTATTTTCCATTTCAATCTTGTTTTCATTATGCCCTTATTTTTATGACTGTTACCTTCCCTCCCTTACTATAGTGCAGTAGTAGGGTGTGCACACCATCCTGTGGTTAGGTAAGATAGAAAACCATTTCTCTTCTTTTCCATGGATTTCACTTATTGAACAGCCAAAAATTATTTTGTTTTCTTTTTTACATTTTAGTAAAAGAAGAAACTATCTCTCCTGTTTCTGTTTTTGTCCAGAGCTATATTCCTTGTCATTGTGAGTCCCTGAGCTCAGTTTGTACCAAATTAACAGGTTCAATAATTTTCTCCATAATGATTACTGGTTGGCTATTGATAATAGACTTGCTCTCCATCTAATAACAGTGTCTCTTGAATAAAAAAACTTTTTATAAGTGTGCTGATGGAATTTTTAAGTACCAATCATATATCTAACTAGATTTATTGTAATAAGTTTATCTGCCATCAACTGCATAAAATTCTGTTTCTAAGCATCAAGCTTCTGATGTATTTGAGGCCCTAATTCACTCCTTAGAAAAAATTGGAAACCTGAAACTAGTAGGTTCCATGTGAAATTCCTGCATATGTCTGTGACAGCGTTCACAGTGCACGGGTACTTTATTGGTCTTAATATTAAATAAATTGTTATTCATGAATTTTGGACTCCTGGGTCTGTTTTTGTATTTACAAGAAGAGATGGTAACTGAAGTTTTTCCATTATACATTTGTGCTACTGAACTTTCTATCACTATGATAAAGTGTCTGAAAAAATCCAGATTTTAGAAATGGAAATTTACTCTAGGTACATTTTATATTATGCTTTCTGAAGATCAAAGCATGGTGCAAATATGAGACAGAGGACAGTAGCTCACCTCATGTTTGCAAATATGTACAGTAAGAAATGATGTAGCTACATCAAAGGAGGCAGTGTCCAAGGTCACTATGTGTGTGTGTGTGTGTGTGTGTGTGTGTGTGTGAGTGATCCTGTCTGTCTCTGTTTGTGTCTGTGTCTGTGTCTGTGTCTGTGTCTCTGTCTCTGTCTGTGTGTCTGTGAGAACATAGGGATTCAACAATCCCAATGGGAATCCCTGTTCTTTCTCTGCACAGCTCATGACCTGCATCACTGTGCAGCTCAGTCCCTCAGTGCCCTAAAGCTCAGTTTTCTGTTTCCACATGATTATTCTATCTTAGTGCACACAGATCTCACTCCCTGTGTCTCTCATGCAGTGATGCCCAGCAGTGTCCTCCTGGTCACATAGGGAGGCTGCTGCAAAACAGGCTTTTAGAATGGACTCTGCAGTTGAATGCATTATATGGAATTAAAGCCTGTAGTAAGCATAACGTCCACAATCAGTGTGAACAAATCATTCCAATCCTAGAAATTCCTCAGGAGTAACAAGTATGAGACAACTTACGGTAATAACTGACAATGTTATAGAAAAATCTAAAACAAAATTATTGACTAGAGACACTCTGTACTGCTTCCTTCCATCTAAGTTGAGCACTCACAGATGGGATACTTGACATGTCCTACATCCAGCTCAGATAGCACTCTGTCCCGATACATCCTGATCCTGATATATCCTTGCTCTGTCACTAACCACTCATATTCCCCAGGCAAACACCAGGATTGGCATTTTAGGATTGAGTGAAGACCCTTAGTCCACTGGCAGTGTCTCCTTGAAAAGGAAATGGCCCCTGCAGGAGGCTTACAATTGCCTTTGCTGACAGTCTTCCTGTGTCCATTTTCCCTGTCCATTTTCCCTGTCACTGGAAGAGAACATGAAAGCCCTTGGATCTGGGACACAAGCATGACTGAATAAAAGGTACTTTTACAGGTCCATGATGCTTCTTTGGCTCTGAGCCATCCTGTTTTGCATCCAGTATTCTCAAGGCCTTCCTTCATGGTACTGCTGTCACTTCAATTTAGGAATGCAAAATAAGGATGTAAAGTTGTGAAGACCTTTAAATTTCAACCCAGATTTCCTACCATCTGCACTGGGGTCCTGAAGATGTATCATCCGTCTATGCGGAAAATAACTCCTCTGGCCCAGGTAACTGCTGGTGTTGCCAAAGGAAACCAAGAACATCTGCCTTATTCCTGCAGATTGTCCTTCTCAGGGACCCCTATAGAAGATAGATAACTACAGAATTGCAGTCTTTACAAGCTTTTAATTTTAAATCATGCATGGATCCAAGTCCTTGAGGAACAGGTCCCTTTTTTGGAAAGTTTCCCTTTGCTGAAGTGCAAGGCAGGTCCCCTGTTAAATTCCCTTCTGCTCTCTGTACCACAGACAGGGACCTGTATTGATCTTATGCGTGTGCTAATGTTTCTCCTACACATGGAAAAAGGTCACTGAGTATCAAAACCTTTACCCACTGACCCTGGTGAATTGGTTTCAGGGTCACCAATTGGAGGCAACAGTTGCCTGATGAGAGAATTCATCTCCATGTATGAGACTTATATTCTACAGGACACATTCTAGCCAGGATAGACACAATGCTGGTGTGGTGGGCTAAGATACTAAGCTTTCCATTGTTGACCTGAGAAACCAGGATAGACATGAACACAAACATCCATGAATAAGTCAGGTGTGTGACTACTTGGTTGAAGGAAAATGTCTGTCCGGTGTGTCCTTCTGGGTCTGTGACTTCAGCTGCATCTCATGGCACACCTGGATGTCCCAAATGTGCATGTGAAATAATCATTGCAGTGATCATGAAAGGGAGAGGGAAAATGCACTTGGGGGCTTTCAGCATGGTATCGAGGTGGTGGAGGCAGATGCTGTTCAAGGTTGCCCTCTCTTCTCCCCTGTCTCCTCTGACATTTGCAGGTTCACTAAATTCTCTCAGGTGAACCTGGGTCCTGGAGTTCCCTCAGCTCCAATCCTCTCTCATCACACTGTGTGCCTGATGCTGTGGAATTCTGTGATCCCTAGGATTTCCTATCATATGACACCCACAATAAAAGTCTAGGGATTTGGATCATTATCCCCTGACAACTGTTCCTTTCTCAGACTGCCTATTTGCTTTCATTTATTTCACCTGTGAATTATTTTAATTGTTCACATCATATTTGAAGTCTGGGTTTTTGCTCTATACATGAAATATGTTATCTCTATATAGGATCCATTTCTGAAAATGTCCTTCGAGATGCCTTCCATCTGCACTAAGTTCTGTGTCCTTTTCTCAATGATCAATCCTCTTTTC